CATCACAGAAAAACCACTGGAGGGATTTTGATGAAATTTGATATGGTGACAACTGGTTATCCGGGTCGACATATAAAATACTTTTTACCGTGGGAAAATATATCATTTCTGAGAAAAAATACAAAAACGGCAATATAAGACTATACTTATATGTAAAACCTAAGAATTTGGTTTCTGGTCATCTGAACGCGGCCGGAGCCGCGGACAGTGCTAGTAAATAATAATGTCATATAATTAATTTAAAAAGGTACACTTTTTTCTTTTTGATTTTTTTTCTTGAAATATATAGGAATTCCTTAAAGGTGAACCTATAAAAAGAGAACATGAACAGTTCACTATTTTTGAAGATCGTGTAACAAATGTAAAACAATCACCCGATATTAATACCTCCTCTTCTTTGAAATCAAAAATCAGGGAGCTGAGACAAAATGTAGTATAATTATCATTGTACTATTGTATCATTTTAATATTTTTTTACCTCCTCCTTTTTAAATAGTTCAAGGAGAATTCTGTCATGTATTTAAAAAAATGAATTCGATATAGTTCTTACACTTTCGATCTGTTAATTATATATCTCATCTTGTCGTATTACGATCCTTATTAAAACTGTGCCTATATTTTTCCCGAGTACTTTTTAAATCCTATAATATAAAATTCCTTAGGCATATAAATATTATACATATAAAAATATAAATAAATAATATCGAAATATGTTATCTACACTGCAAAAATAAAAAAAATATTAGATTATTATCTAAGGAGGAAGATATTAATTTGAAAATCTTCCTGTCTAGAATATTCACACAAAATCTAATTAGCAATATAATGATTAATTTTGTTATTATTTAAATTAGGCATTTCCAGTGCAATAAAACAACAATTTCAATGTTATTTAACAACACTAGTTATTTAATTAGCAATAGATCGTGCAGCTCAAGAACGTGGGAAAAAAGGAAATCCCTTTTCACCATTGTAAGAAGTTACACTACTATCATAAATGAATGTATGTTTGTATGTGTGTCTGTTATTTATTACTTGTTACAACTGAAGTAGTGACGAAAGATGGCGCTAACTGTATATAATATTAAATGCACAAAAGGCGAAGTGCGAAGCGAAGCGAAGTGAAACGAAGGCAACACGCTTGTTGACCATAAAATAGTTACGATACTGACAATATTATAAATATCTATTACCTAACGCTCTAATTCTATTCTAAATTTTCTTAGTCTAAGTCGTAATTATAATATATTTGGTCCAATGTGGAACGTATGTATGTTTTAACCCACATATACGAGTAATTTAATCCGATAACGGACGTGCTTTACGTCTAATGATTTTATAAGACAGCCGATAAATGAAATGCTATAAAAATACATATTACATAGGTTTACATTAGTAAACCTTGTACTTCGTTATATCTTAGTAGCTTATCGGTATTTTTGTGTAATTATTAAAATAAATTTTTAGAAATTTGTTTATCTGATGAAAGAATGGGACACCTATATTTCCACTCCTACCTTGTACAGACAGACAGAAAGAGTGGAACGGTAAGGGTGCTAGGAGACCAGAGTAAATAAATCAACTGTTAATTTTGAAATTTATTTTAGGATGTAAGCCAAATTCTTTTTTCAAATGCTGTAAAGTATATACGAATTAATGTGTTTTTTTTTATTTGTTCCGAAACTTTCTACTCAAAAAAAATGTCTAGCATAAACCTTAACGTTTAATTTAACTTCATTTAAAAATATTAATATATTTTTAATACGTATTATCAACATGAAAATAAAATATATGGTAAATATAAAGGTAAAATATAAAGACCCAAATATTTTCATTTGAATATTGTGGTTTTTGTACCAGGAAGTACGATATACACTGTGATAAATTTATTGTCAATGCGATGTCAATATATATATATTTTTTTCTATCTAATGAATGCCCTATGCGTGATTTTACGAATATAAAAAAAATAATTGAAAAAATGAATGCCGAGGCCAAGGTTAAAAATATATCAAGTATTGGTATTAGCAATTTCAAACGGTACATTTTATTTAGTATGCATATGAAGCCAGTGACGCTTGCGCACAAATTATATTACTTAGCGTCGCACATAGCCAGATTCATACTTCCTATGAAAGTTCACCAAGTACAAGTACGAAAAATTAAATATAGATTGATTATTATTTTTAAAAGAGTACAAAAGTAATGATAACAAACAAAAAACACTTATAGTAGACCAGAAAAAATAATTACTCTACATGTAGTCTGTTAGATTTTTTTCTGCATTTTCTGAAATCACAATTATTAATAACTAGTATTGCCGAGGCTCCGCCGCGTTCAGATGACCAAAAACCAAATTCTTAGGTTTTACATATACATTTATGAGTATACTCTTTCATTTCAGTTTTTATATTTTTTCTCAGAAATGAGATATTTTACCGCGGTGAAAAGTATACCTATGTGTTAACCCGGATAACCAGCTATCACCATACCAAATTTCATCAAAATCCCTCCAGTGGTTTTTCTATGATGCGGTAACAGACAGACAGACAATAGTAATAGTTGTCATATATTACGAAAGTCTTCCCAACTATTATAAAATTATTAGCTCTTCTCTATAATTAGGAATATAAGAAATAGAAATCTTAAAATAATATCAAGTTATACTTATTTGTATTTCGTTTGATTATGGTCCATTTTTTTATTCTTTAGAATCTTATTGGTTATATCAATATGGCTTGTTGAATATACATATTTTTAATTATTATGTTAAAATTTAGACCTAAACTTACACTACAAATTTGATATAAAAATCCTACTTTATTTTTTAATTAAGTATTCGCCATAGTAAAACCACTGTAATGTTAGGTATATACAACCGTGGTAAAACATAATATTATTACATATTCTTTTAAACATTTGAACTCTAGGACGGACGAATGACAAGGCTTAATAAAAGAATCTCGATTCGACCTTTCCGGTTATCTACCGAATCTACGCAGTAAACAATTTAGGTTTTATTTAACTGGTCAATTTATGAAATTACCTATATCTTTTTGCTACAATCAAAATAAAAATGCTATTTTTTCAATAATTTTGAACAAGCGGAAATGTTGATTATCTTCATTTAAGAGTGTGCACTTCGTTCAGACCTTTCATAAAAAATAATGTGCGTAACCTTTCCGCGCGGTTGACGTAAAACTTCTGTGGCGCTGTGGCAGATAACTTAATTTAATGAAAATCAAAATATAAATATAACATATTTTATAAAATTATTAATAATGCAGGATTGAGGATATCATCAATAAAACCACCTCACCACAATCACCTTAATACATTTATCAATATTTCAATAGTCTATTAGGTCTTTGCAAACTTTAAAAACTAAAACTTTCTCATTCAACATGACCGAACACACCCTGTCCCTTTCTATCATTCTTTCTTTCATTTACACTATACACATTAGTCATAATAGTTTTTATTTTACTTATGCACATTCATCTCACAGTAATAAATATTCATTTTCATAAGTAATAATTACTATAAAATTATTAATAATTAATATATATATTTTTATTTATAATTATTATTATAAAAATATAAATAAAATATATTTTTTTAAATTACTTATAATAAATTTGACTCTCACTTCCCTGACACTCATTTTTCGAATGTATTCACTCACCTCTCAATCACGCCTAAAGAAGTTTTGCTTTAAAAATATTATAAACCGGAAGATAAAATAATAAGGCCTTTTTTATTTGTTGGAATTCGCTAAGATCTAAAATTACTAGTCTGATTCTAAAAATGTCTAAGTGTGAGTTCGCCACCCACAGTTCCGTTCCAACCTACAATTTCCATTACATGTTAATTAATAAAATTGGTTATTGGACCTTATATTGAATAGCCGCTCCAACCTCGATTGTGAGACGGCGACATATTATGTTTCAAAAAATTCGACCCTTTAAATATACAGAGACGAATTTTTGGACGGACAGACAACATAGACGTATAAAATAATTGATTCAATCGAAAAAAGACATGGTGGAATGTAAAATACACAATAAAACCTACTTGGAAAGGTACTGATGTCATTTAATTGATCCAATTTTATTTAATTGAACTTGATTCCACTAAGGGTCAATATTGCAAAATATTGGTACATGTTTTTGCCGAGTAATTTGAAGGTAGTCCAGTATATCAGAATAATTCTTATATATTATAGCGTCAATTTAATTAAAACAGCAGTAATATTGAAATATTTATGCGAAATAGGTATCGTTTGAATTAAACCTCAGAAACTCCAGCAGCGTCTCAATAGCAGCAGGCTGTAATGTATTAAAATACTGGTACTTAGAATGTAATTTTTTAATATATGTATTTAACCATTTTAGTAATAACTAATTAACAAAGATGATTAACCTAATTAAAATACTAATTAAATTATTTTGAAATATTTTCTTAGGTAATATATAAATGATAATTTGCGAGATATTAAACTTTACTTCGTAATTATTACTGTATTTAGTCTTAAAATGAATTATTGAAATTTAATTTTTGGTTTTACATACATAACCTTTTATTTTTTTCCATAAAACGAAGGCCTTGTTCGATGTTCGATGTTTTTGATTAATTTTGACATTGAAGTTAATGTTACATAGCATTATTTAGAAAAACACATCCTTGTTGCAGTCCAAGTATTACTTCCGAAGATTTTAATAAGGTCCATTTTGATATTTTTTTTATTTTTAGAATTAAATTATCTACTAAGCTACTAAGAACATCTCAATAAGTTTGTTTATAGAATTAAAATTTATAATTTTTTACTGTTCGATATATGTATTAGTTATTTTATTAACTTGTCAGATTTTTCATATTACCACGAATTCATTAAGACCTTAACTCTGAGGTCATGTTCATATTATAAAACTGAGTAACAATTTACAAATAAAACATACGTAACTTGAACTTTATTGTGTTAAGAAACAATTTGAACGAGAATGAAAAAAATAATATTGATCATATTGAGCGTGCAACAGATTATAGTGACAACACCTGCAGTGCGACCAGGCAAATTTATTTCCTATTCTTTACCTGACAAAAGACCCTTAAAGAAAGCTCTAGGATATATTGAGGACACTTACTTAAATTTTACAGAATTAAGCAATAAATACGGATACTCAATTGAAGAACACATAATAACTACAGATGATGAATATCTTCTAACAGTCTTCAGGATCCTTTCAAAATGTGATCAAGTGCTAAAGTACCCTGTAATATTAATGCACGGTATAAGTGACACCTCAGACACATGGATATTAACTGGTCCTAAATCAGGTTTAGGTTACATTTTATCAAATAATTGTTATGATGTATGGGCTGGCAATCTTAGAGGAAACACGTATTCACGTAAGCATAAACGGCTGAATCCAGATGTAGACCCGGAATATTGGGAGTTTTCATTTGACGAAAATGGCTTTTACGATTTACCTGCTATTATTGACTATATTATAAATGCTACCAAGCAAACTAAAGTTTACTATGTTGGTCACTCACAGGGGACGACAGATTTTTTCGTCATGGGATCTTTAAGACCTGAATATAATAAAAAAGTTCAACTATCCATTCACTTAGCTCCAGTGGCATGGATGAGTACGTTAAAGAGCCCCATACCAATATTATTAGCACGAGCAACAAAACTTTTAAAAGAATTCCTCGATAACCTTGGTTTTGCTGAAATTTTAGGCAAACATCAAGTGTTTCATGCTATAGTAGAATTGTTGTGCCAATTTGCTCCAGATGCAATCTGTGGCACATTTTTTGCTTTAACAACAGGTTATTCACAAGGAAGTATATCATCAAGGAATCTGGCAGTAAGCATGGGGCATATTCTAGCTGGTGTTTCTGTTAAAACAGTAGCACATTTTGGCCAGTTAATAATGTCTGGAAATTTCCAACGCTACGATGAGGAAAAGGAAGGGAACATAAGAAGATATGGTACACCCACGCCATCAAAATATAATGTATCGCTTATTACGTCTCCAGTTGTTCTCGTTTGTGGTCAAAATGATTGGCTGTCCACCTCAGAAGACATCCAAATATTAGCCTCACAGCTACCAAATTTAGTAGAAAAATACATAGTTCCCGAGCCAAAAGGGAGCCATAACAATCACCTCTGGGGTAATGATGTAAAAGAATCCACTTATAGTAAAGTTTTAGACTACTTTAAAAAATTCAGTACATAATGCATATAGTGTTTATTGGCTTATAATGAGCAACCGGTGTCTTAATTCTATGGTTTTTTTAAAATCGAATGTGCTAACTTTAAATATAAAAAGAACAAGTTGTGGTGATATAATTTTATTTATATACTTATACTACGTACAAATATTCAACCAGCTACTCACATATTCGACGGCGTACTAATATTAATAACTAGCGACTCACCCTCGCTTCGCTCAGGTTCGTCCCTAGGTACGTTTTGACGCTTAGTATGCAATAGATTTATTTGTTTTTCAATTATTTTTTCGTTATTTTTTCGATGTTTTAATAGGTTATTCTGCTATTCGGGTTAAAGACAAATCCAAAAAAAAAAACATCATTAAAATCGGCCCAGCAAATCTCTAGTTATAAGTGTTGTAACAAACCCGACTTTGTTTTATATATGTAAGATAATTAAATTACATTGTTATTATTTAAGATATCAATCACCTACCATAGGCGATTTATATAAGCCTGTTAAAAAACTCAAAGTATAAAATTATGTAATTTCTGTGGACAGTTGAAATTCAACTGACAAACACAAAACAAAGATGCAAAAGCTTTCTGCAAATCCCAGTTTTTGATGGAAATATGGTTACGTATGGTAAATATGGTTTACTAAAAAATGTTATCTATGATGATATAATTTTCTATAGTAATTTGTTATGCATGTTTTAATTATTATATTTAACTGTAAAGCTATAACTTCATTAGCATGGTCATTGTTTTCTGGACCGTCCTTTTTGAAAATCATAATATATACGTATATATATTTTAAATTCGCTTAATGTTGAAGTCCAATCTATGTATACTGTACATTATACAACATGTAATTACCAGTTTGCATGTGTGTCTGTCCGCAACAAATAAGTTACTATAACGTTCAACTGGTTGCTATTAAATATTGCTGAGTAGAGTTTGGAATGCAGCATGCTTAAGAATATTTCTCATTCTTATATAACTATAATATTTAAGTTTGTATGTACACATATATGTATATGAATATTTATATAAGCTAAGGTTTTGTCCTATTACTATTTGATATAGTAAAAAATAATCTTTCGTATAATTACTCTCTAAAATAAATATAATATTAAGTTTATCTAATAGTACACAAATGTATTGTAATTACGTATTTGCACAGCTTAACAATGCATATCGTGGTAACTTTATTTGTCTTCTAGTCCACTTATTTTAATTATATTCTTAGTTAAATTTATAAGTTTTTAAATTTTTATGTTTCTTTATGAACATCATAAAAAATATATTTAAATTGATATAAATTCCACATTCAATCAATGTAATTTTATTTCTAAATATTACAGTGATTTTTAAATATACATACGTATGTTAAAAATTTTAACATCGACTTAGTAATAAAAGCGAATGCTAACGATTTTGAGCATACGAGTATCTTATCTTACCTTTTTTTACTGATGAATGGAAAAGTTATAGTTTTTGCATAACAAAATATCCTTGTCACATACAGGTTTTATATGTTCCTTGTTTATATTTTAGTCAGCTGACTATCAAGTCAGTTTATAAACAAACGAAATAATTCATTTTATCAATTCTGAATATACGGTAGATATTTTTCTATTTTTAATATGAAGATTTGCACAATTTACTTTTTATAATATATCTTTTAAGTTCTTAACATTATTTAAGAGATCATGTATCAGAAATATATTCTACCTTATTTCTAGAAAGAAGATATCACGACAGTTTTTAATTACGTAAAGTATTATTATGTAAAAAAATTAAATGAAGTCTTTATTACTATTATAATTTAGATCAGAATTTATAAAAATGAGGTAAGACGGAAACAGTAGGTACGTCAAGTTCATTAATATGTAATTGGTTCTCATACTCCATGTATACGACGCTCTGAGTCATCACTTAACAATTAATTACCCTTCAAATATTATATTTAATTACATTCATCCCGCCACGACCGCGGACACGCCGGCGTGTCAGTTAACAAAAGATTTCTTCGAAGTTTAATTAATTTCTTAGAAATTTACCTGGAGGTGATTTCTAATATATAAATATTTCGTGTCACGGTGTTTGTGGTCGCACTCCTCCAAAACGGCAAAACATTTTTTTTGTATATGTGGTAGATATGAGAATAGGTCGTAAAGTATTTTTCACCCACCCCCATTTTTTTATCGCGATTTTAGTATTTTTGTATGAACAATATTCAAATAATTTAATATTATAGAAATACATAATATAGAAATACAAAAGAGTTTTTTTTTTAGATTAAACGCGGGTAAAACATATATTATTTATTTATTCGTAATAAAAGTTAAAACTTATTTTTTACTCCAAAGAAGATATTAAAAATTAAGTTTAATTGGTTAACATTAAGTTACTGTAAGATAACAATAACCTAATTTTATCTAAATAACCCATAGTTGCCTATAACTACTATACAAGTGAATTGTCTGAAATAAAGTTATAATGATTATATCCATTATCCAATATAGGTAGTGAAATGATCAATTTAAAATCGGGTAGCAGGTAAAGACTGGAAATCACTAAAATTTCACTGGTAATTATTAATATTGTACTGGAAATTATGACACATGCAAGAATTTAATAAATACAAAATTCAATTAAACAATAAAATATTGCCCTAGGGCTAGGTAATAAACTTAGTCATAGTATTGTAATACAATCGTTAGTTAACATCTTAACAAGCTGACTAATACAAAGTGTCTATCCTACATAAATTGTAAATGACGTAGGTATATTTTAAATCGCAAAATTTGTAACTTTAAAACGATGTGATTGGTTTAAAAGTAAATTATTTGAAGAAAATATTAACAATGAGAAAGGTACTGAAGTTTTGATAAAAGGACTGTACTAATTTCAACATAAATTATTCAGGACTTATGAAAAATCACGGCCACTACTTAGACTCTAAGTTTACCCTACGTTATACTATTATTCTTCGTCAGGGACATATTTCTATATATTCAAATCTCACAGTAACGATTCAATGTGATGGGATTTAAAGTATTTTAAGTCACCTGAGATAATTAACGAAACTTAATACAAAACGAAGCGTTAGATGTAGATAATAGTATAATTAAAACTTATCTTGTTGTTTTCATAATTTGTAATTGTATTTTTATGTATTACAATTTATTGTTCTCCTAATCTTAACTGACAAAATTATAATTGCGAAAATGAATTTGTTTATTTATTGATTACTTCAACTCCTACATCAATCATGACATATGTAGGAATTAGTAATAATATCCCACATGGAGTGTGAGAAACATAATTTGAGTGATCGTGTGACACTAATAATAAATATTTCAATTTATATAGATAATTAAAATAGGTACTTAATTAATTTATTTTATATTAAATATCCAGTGAACTAAGAAATACTTAGTGACTGACATTTTCTTTATTACTCTTCACCATTACACTTACATGCTATAAATCCATACTAATATTATAAATGTGAACGTGTTTTTGTTTTTGTTTAAGAGAGACAATAGCATTCCCAAGGAGGGTTGACGTCAGGTAGGCGGCTGATCGTAAAACTTTTGCCAAATCCTATCAGCAGTACAGAAGATGTACTGCGCCGACCCCAAGTGATTGGGAGAATTGGCAGGGAGAAGAAGAAGAAAGTGTTTTTGTTTGTTTGTCCTTCTTTCACGTCGAAACGGAGTGACGGATTGGCTTGATTTTTTTGTGTGGAGATAGTTGGAGAGCTGGATTGAGAGTGACATAAGCTACTTTTTACCGCAGGAGATTATCTATTTCCCACGGGAAAACACGTTATAATTCAATCCAAAAAATATTTATGATCAGAATTAATTGAAACTTGGTATTAAGACTCATCAATAAAATTAATTAAATAAATACGTATTTTAACAATTTTCGAAATTCATCCTATAAGGGGGTAAAATAGGGGATGAAAACTTTTTTTTTTATAGAAAAAAGGGGCAAACGAGCAAACGATCCACCTGATGGTAAGTGGCTATCGTCGCTCATGGACATCTGCAACACAAGAGGAGTTGCGAATGCGAACTTGTACCTTTTTACTGATTTTTTTGTAGTTTTAGCGCGAGCGAAGCCGCGGGTTCTGCTAGTATTATATATACATAAAACATACGTAAAAACAATTATTTAATTCGACCAAGAGATATCGGTCACTAGGTTGCGGTCGATCAGGATAAACCACAGTATTGGATCCGCAGAGAGATGTGACCTTCACGGAAATAATGTATCTAATTGATAAACTATAAAATTTTTAATGTAATCATAAATAAATATTATAATAGTATTTATAGAAAGAAAATAATTATATGTCTTCCATATTCAGATTCTTCTTGCGGTTCTCTCTTACTTTATACAAAGCACGAAAAATATTGGTACAATAGAGCAGCCGACAAAATTTTATCAAAGATATAAATCGATAGATGCGTCGCCTTGGTTTTTTTATCTATCTTTTATCTATCTTCTTCTTCTATCTATATACTTATACTCTTATATAAAAGGCAAAAGTGATTGACTGATGTATCAACGCACAGGCCAAGCCCTTAAGGCTAGAAAATTGAAATTTGGCACACGTATTCCTTATACATATGACGAAAGCATCCACTAAGAAAGGATTTTTCAAAATTCAACCAGAAAGGGGGTGAAATAGGGGATAAAAGTTTGCATGAAACTTTTTATTCCTTAAACATATTTGCATGCAATTTCGTATGAATTGAGTAGATACGGCAAAAATAATACATTACGTATTTCAGTGTTTTCTAAAATTCAACCTCTAAGAGTAAAAAATAGGAGATGAAAGTTTTAAATAAATAATGAATATTTAAAAAATATTTTTTTTTTTAAATGCTCGATGTTTTGAGTTACGATCGCTAAAATTAGATTTGTTTTCCATATACTCGTATCTTTAATAAATAATATGAAACACGAAGTTATTTTTGCAAATAAAAAAGTATGTATTGCG